TTTTAAGCATCATCTTGCCCAAGATGGAACAATTTCGTTCGAAGAAGCAAATTACCATCAACTGAATCTAGGAAGGAAATTTATGATGCGTACGAATTTATGACGAAACATTTTGTAATGGGAAATTATTAAAGCGTTATAATAGAACCTCTAATAGCTTCTAATAGCCTATAATAGCTTCCAATAAGCAAAGAACTAATGAATTAAATGAACCTACAGAGTTCCTCGTAGTATAACTTTCGTAATGCACCTATGAAAAGAAGCTTAGTAGTAAACGACTTGTTTAAAGCGAAAGCATTATAAACTGTGAATGCAACTTTTACAAGGTCCTTACAAGCTTCATTTATGACCAAATATCCCAATAACTACAGAACAATGATTTATACCTATGAGAAAAAAAAGTTTCTTCAATAAGCTGTGTTAATGCTAAAACGATCGAAGAGGATCCTGACCTTCTAATCTAATAACTTACTTTATAAAGGCTATAAATGCTACTAGTTTCGTATACATTATTCTGTATTTAACCTTTAAGATTTGTAGTTTCGCTTTCCTACCATAGACACTAATTGTTCCAACACCTTTGCATCCGCCGTTCGTTTTAAAAAGCAAGGATGTGCTAAAACAAAGTAATCTACAAGTTGTGAAAGAATGTTTAATGTACTTATTGATAAAATCCTAATATTCCTAAGTATTAACCGAAATTCGTAGCGCTGAATTATTATTAGGTATTACATGAATTGGAGACAAAAGAAACGAGAAGTGTAAACACAAATTCAAACACCAATTACATTCACATGATTAATTAGTAATTGTATTCGAACAGAGGAGGAAAAATTACCGAGAATGTTTCCAAACAAAATCATCAACGAGGGTGATTTTTCCGAGTAAGTCCGTATATTTGCGTTAACTAGCCAATCAATTTTTTTCTATATTAAGATTAGCAATAACCATATATTCTAATTCAGTTTCAACTTAAAAGATACAATTACCAATTACGAAATCCACACTCAACAATATTAATACTCATCAAACATTACTTCGATGAATGATAGCAATAAAAATTTTCTAAAAGGTTACTTCGTCTTTGAGCTCAGTCAACATTATACCTTTATAAATAGGTATCTGAAGGGAAATATATTCTCGCTCTTGATGCTAGTTTAAATAGGGCTGTTGTACATTTACTTATATATTTTTTACTTCCTTTTATTCAGTCCATGTGGCAGAAAGGGTTTATAATGCGCTAGAGACTCTCGGCGTATTCTCGATGTAACAGAGTTGTAAACTTTTAGAAAATAAACGGTTCTCTGAATATCTAAACGATATAGCCAAAAATATAAGTTTAAATGCTGTATTAACATAAGCGGGCATGTGGTGTAGATGGTTATCACGCTTCCTTAGCATGGAAGAGGTCCCAGATTCGAGTTCTGGCTTGTCCACTTTTTTACTACTATTTTTTAAGTGGATATTTTTTGCATAAACGAATGTCTCACGTTATGTACATAGCAGATGTCACTAATCGTGCGACTCTCTCAGCACCCTCGATATAACATAAGATTGTTATTTTTTATCGTTACATTTTTTAGTTACCTTGAACAACATCAATTGATCATCGACTTAATCGAACTCTCTACTAATACCTTACTATGCTCAGTAGGTATTATGCAAGTAGATACAGGTGGTTTTTCATAGGATAAGTACAGAAGTTTAAGGAAGTTTCAATGTAATCTTAAAAGGTGTGGACGATTAGTACATACTTTTTAGATTCAAAGCTATTTTTTTAATTCTTTACGTAAATGTAAAAATAAAATTACTCATTATTTTTGAACAACGGGGTCACTCACTAGAGAAGCAGAAGAAAATACCTCGAATAGATACTTTTTCACCATAGCTAAAAATAGCTTAACTTCTGCATTTAATTGCTAGTATCCTTTTAAACAAGGGAATAAGTTAATTGTCATAAGGACGCAAGATGTTCCATTATACGAAGAGAGTATTTGTTTCGAGATGTTAGAAAGCTAGCTTAAAAAAAAGTCATCAGCCTTCAACAAACATTCATCCCATAAATGTATTGGTGTCTTCTTTACAACTATGGTTAGCTAAGGTATCCATTTCTGCATTAAATTAGCCAAAGAAGCGGAATAAAAGAAGCAATCTAATTCGCTTGAATACATGTTATTCTACATCATTATTGGCAAGAAAAATGTAAAGGAATGTACTAACGAGAAAACATTGAAAATCGAAGACGAGGAACCTACAATCTATGTATGTATGTTGTTTATGCAAGATTTAAGTTTTTATAGGAGCTGGCACTTATTTGATATTCTTTCCATCGTCGTATACGAGTAAAAAAGCTAGCCGAAGTGCTCAGCTTTTGAGGACTCAAAGAAATATTACTACTACTCTAGAAATGCAAATAAAAAACCTTTATAAGTCTACTCATCTAAAAATCTCAAACTGTGGAAAAAAAAAACAAAAAAGAAACTGTGTTCTATAAATCTCGTTTACTAAAAGAACATTCAACAGATAATCCGATTAGAAGAATCAACAAAAGTTTTGTAGATCTCACTTCTCAATTTTTAGTCAAAACATACAGCGAGCGTGCTCTAATAGTACGTCGAACTCTCATTTATTATATTGTGTATAATAATAAATCGTCTTGTAAAGGTTGAGTATCAAAATAAAGCATAGTTTATTCTATTGAATTTATTGTATAAAGTAATATATGTACTGTACTGCGTAGTAGTACACAATACTACGTCAAAGTTGCGTTATACTCAATTTATATTATACTTACTATTCGTTTCTTAAAGATGAGCAAAAGATTTGATATACCACCATAAGAGATGATACTGAAATGAAACAAAACTGTGTTGTGTGAAAGCAATCCATTCTTCTTGTCCTTTAAGCTTGTAAAATATAATACTGGCTTCAAAAATAAGCAAAGTTGTCTTAGAAGGTTAAGACCTTTCGTTTCAGTATGCAATATGCTGTCTAGTACGTATTTATGTAACGAATTGACAAGAGATACACTACCATAGAAATGCTGCATGCAAGACCGTTGAGAAATTATTCGACTTACTTTTTTGTAAAATAGTACTTTCTTTGTAAAATAAGAATTCAAGACAAGCTAATGAGAGATACAATGCTTGCTACACTGTATGGTGTTCAAAATAACATTAACATTAAAATAGTATATAAGAATAGTATATAAAAAAAATAACTGTAAACAACACAAGCAAATCTTCCTTAGTATAGGGGTAGTACACCAGCCTGTCACGCTGGCAGCCCGGGTTCGAATCCCGGAGGGAGAGGATTTTGTTTTTTGCTTTGTTATTTTTTTCCCATCTTGGGTTTTATGATTTACGTTGTATTGTTTTTATTTATTTTTTGTTTCAATATCGTATGTTCTGTTCTTCCTGCTTTCCTACTTTTGTTCGAGCTGGTTGAAGATCTTGATTTTTATCTCATATGGTTGTATGACCTGTGTACGAAAGTAGGTGGTGGGTGATACAAACGAAAGAAAGCAATATTAGGCAAGCTCGAAAAGAAAAGGAAAGCAAAGAGAGAAAGGCAGCATCCTAGTAAAACAAATTGAAAATGAAAAAAAAGGTATGGATGACCGTGCCAAGACTCGAACTTGGGACCGTCTGCGAACATCAAATGTTAAGCAGAAATTATAACCATCTAAACCACACGGCCTTTGTTACTACTGCTTCTCTATTTGATATTAATCTAATGTGCTAGTCTAATAAGATGCTATTCCATAGTTTCCTTCGTATATGATGCTCATAATTTCATGTCTTGAAGGTTCTCATCGCTACTGAATGGACAATGAATGTACTAGTACCACCATCGTTTATATATGCTTTCCTTTGGTTTTTTGTATTTTATTGGTTATTTTTTTTTTTTTATTA